AGAAATAGGATTTAACTTTGTGCCAGTTCTTGATATCAAATCTTTTATAGGAATGATATCATTAAAGTTAATATTATTTATATAATTTGGTATCCACGCGAATTACATGGAATTTAACTTGGCGCTAGTTTAGTTGATATCAAATTTTTTATACGAATGATACATATCATTATAAGAATATCCTTGAAGAATTAAAATCCGAATTACATGGAATTTAACTTGGCGCCAGTTTTGTTGATATCAAATCTTTTGTACACGAATCATACGTATCATTATAAGAATATCCTTGACGAAAAAACATTCGATTAATCCTAATTGGTGATTCACTGTCAACCGTAAGTGGTCAATTCTACTAAACAACGCGATTAGTCATCAGTTTCACGGCCGATTAAGTAATTAGCATTGGTGAAACAGGCCCAAATGGCGATTCTTTACGAGAAGCACACACGCATAGCGCTTTTATTATCTTTATTTAAAAAGGTAAGTTTGTATACGACTATATGTACAAAGGATATCATCAACTCGATTAACCCTAATTCGAATTATAAGAATACCCTTGAAGAAAAAATTATTTTCTTCACAGCGCTTTGAAGGAGACCATGATGGATAAACTGGTCTGCAAGTTTACTTGGCGAGGCAGCCCAACAACAGAAAAACTGTACAACAATTGCAAACATTTTATACCGTACGTTTCATTATATCTTTAAAATTTATGAACTGACAATCTCATTAAGTTACGAACATATGCACGAATAAGTTTACATAAATACTTTTTTTTCAGGAGCAGCAAAATCACTTTCTTCGCGGGTCCGAATACAAAAGCAGAATTTAAAAAGGAAAAATATTTCGATGTACCAAACAAAGGTATCGACAAAAAAAAGATAAGGGAACTGAAAAGTAGTGACACCGACACCGAACACAGAGGAGAAATTGATGAAGAACAAGATTACGAGAAGATTACGCAACGGATAAACGAGCTAAAATGGTCATAAAAATGAGCGGACAAATGATGACGATGCAGAGGATGAATATTCATCTGACGATACTGAATTGGATGACGAAGATTAAGAAAATGACAAATATAAATGACAAATATAAACGTTTTTTTTTATTTAATAATAACTGTTATAAAAATTTTATCTTTAATTTTATAAGATTATTTTTAATACACAGTATCTATCATGTTTTAAATTAAAATTTAAATGTTTTACGTACGTTTTTATAATACAAAAATTTTAAATTTTATTTCATTATTTATGAATAAAAAGGAGTAATTACCTTTTCTCAAAAGCCTTTTATTTATATGCCTGAATTTTTTCAATCCACATGCGTGAGGGTCATATGCGAGTCATATGCGTCAACAATCACGACGTGCGACACACATGAATCTCAATTGATGACGCATCTGCGTGGTAAAATGCGAGTAACATGTGCGAGAAAATTCACACGCGTGCGTACATAATGCGTGGCATATTGCATGCATTTTGTTATCTGGATGTGTCTTTGTTTAAAAATCGGTCTTATTTAGAAATTGGAACGTTTACCTTAAATCTAATAAAACTATCACTCCTGGCGGAAAAATTTTTATGCCAAAGTATGCGAAAAAGTACACATTTCTACTTCTATGTCTATGGCGTAGAATCGCGTTGTTAAACATGGAAATATTTACGCCAAGCTATGCGGTTTTACGTGAAAAATGTAAAATGGCGTACTTGGACCTAGTTAGGAAAGTACGTCAATATTATTGATATGGAAAGGGTAAAATTAGGAGTGGGGAAAAAAGGAGAAAGAAATTAGGAAAGGGAAAGAGATCGTAATATGAAAATGGGATTCCGATAATGATTCCGTGTCATTTTGCCTATTTAAGCCCTGTTTCTGTCTTTTGATATGAACCATTTTTTAAATTAGTCGTTTGTTATACGATGGTTCACTATCTAAAATTTTGACGCTATTCCAATCAAATTCATGATTGAAATTAATACGGTGGTCAGAAATAACTGAAGGAGATCCTGTTTTTATATTTATGTCTGACATACATTCATTTAATCTAGCTTTTAATTTTCTTTTGGTCTGATCAACATAACTTGCCTCAAAAATTCTCAGAAGAGATTTTATACACAATTTCTTGGTGGGAGTATAAGTCGAAGTGGTCTTTGCAAACCCCTTTTTATGTAATTTTTTAAAGTGTTAGGAATGGATAATTTACAACCAAGTTTGAGAGCTATAGGCATAAATTTTTCAGAGCCAGACTTAACATACGGCACAGTAAAATATTTATCTTTGAATTTGTCTTGTGTGAATGAAAATTATTATTTGTTTTATTTTTATTGTGAATATGGTAATTAATTCTTTTTTGTATAGTGGAAAAAATGAAGTTGATGATAACCATTATCTAAAAAAGAGTGAATAGCATCAATAAAATTCCTTTATTGAAACTTAGTTAAGTTTTTTACATGAAAAATTGTTCTATTTAAATTTAATTTTTTCATTTTATACAATTAATTCTTTAATTTTTTGTAACAACACTTAAATTGAGCAAGGTAACGCAATTTTGTGATGATGTTTTGTATGATGTTTTGAAAGAGAATTAAATAACCACTAAAAGTAGTGGTTATTTAATTCTCTTTCAAAACATCCAACTAAAGAGTTGGAAGAGAAAATGTCTTTGAATGAATTGTAATTAAATAACCACTACTTTAGTTGGATGAATGAAGTTAGATGAAATGAACTGTGAATATAATAATTTCATTTAAAAGGAATTTTTTAACTATTTGGATTGGAATACAAAGATCTTTCAATAAGATATACGTATACATAGGTTTCATTGTATAAAAATTAAAGATAGTACCATTTGGATTAAGTAAATAATAATGATAGTATCACTTGGGTTTTACTTTTTATTTTGATAGTAGAATTTAACTTGGCGCCACAGTTGTTGATATCAAATCATTTATACAAATAATACGTATCATTAGATTAATATTCATTATTTATTTAATTTGGCATGTTATAAAGAAGTGGGATTTAACTTGGCGCCAATTGTTGATATCAAATCTTTTTTACGAATAAGTAAATAAGAAACAGTACCATTTGTGTTTTATTTTTTAATTTGATATTATTATATACAAAGGAATGTAACCTTTTACGGTCGGAGCTGGATCTTCGTTGCTTTAAATAATTCAATCTTGAATTACTAATATATACTATATATGTACTTGCATATATACCATATTGTAGTCTT